CTTGATCTGACCCAGCCCCAGCTGCTCTGTGTGGGGAAGGGAGGGGGAACTCTGTCTCCATTGTCCTCTCCTCCCCCTCCCTTTCCCTTCTGCTGCCTGAACAGTCTGAGCTGCTGGGGAGGGGTGAGTTGGTGCAGTTCTTTTTGCTTCCCCACAGAAACCATTTTCTGCAAGGAAGCAAAGGGATTCTGTTTGGGGGGCGGACATTTTTCTGCACGCCGCAGTTGCAGAGAGTTTTCCCAGGAGTAAAAATTGTGTATATATTCTCTCTCTCTCTCTCATATTTTTCAGTGTGAATAAAAAACTCTGAAAACTGTCTCAAAGCTGAGCAGCTCTGTTTATAGAACAATTGTAGCACAGACAATAGCTGTGCAGTCTTCCCTACATTGGTGTCACTGGCGGGATCATTTCTTTGTTGTTCAGTCCTTTTCTTCTCTGATGAAAGTGTCTTCAAGAGTGCTGGTTACGCCTGTCCTCTAAGATCTGGATGGAGAACTAATAAATTTATTGCCAAATGTCAATTTGATGGTAACAAGTTTCAGTTGCTACTAATCTAGGCTGGACATGAACTAGAAGTTTAGGGAGGAAAGTCCTGTGAAATCAAAACTTTGAATGTTTTGGAACTAGGTAATGAAATACCTAGCTTGCAGTATTTTTACAGTTGTGGCAAAAAGCCTCGTGCTTTCTGTATAGATATACTCTTTTTTGATAAAGAAACCCAAGTATATGTGGTGGCTTCACTTTAATGAATGTCTGTATTCGAGTTACTGGATTTAGGAAAATTGTAGTTTGGGAGAACTATAAAAGCAATCCACATACGCAGTGAATCATTGCAATAGCTTTGTAGAAGAGAGCAGAGACTTGCATATAGTACAGGACACAAAATAGCGCAGTAAATGTCACTGTTCTGAAACAAGTACTTATCTTCCTAGAGAAGATGTAAAAATGCTAAGAAAATTGCTTGAGGAGATTATAATATTACCACTCAATGTTTAGAATAGAATAACTGTATGGAAGCCATTAATGATCCCAATAGTGATTGTAAAATAAGACTTTTTTTTCTTTTCTTGTCCAAAACCAAGAAGTTGCATCAGTTCCAACTCTTCCCCTCTCTCCCTTAAACGTTTCCTGTCAAAGTCAGTAGTCTGCAGTAGTTGATACCCTGTGTAGCGCTTAGGTTCCCGAACTCAAATTTTCCCCTAGGTTTCTTGAAGTGGAAGGCAAGTACGCTTAAAACAGTGAAACATCTGGTCTCTAAATACCACCTACAGTACAGACACCATCATATTGAGGATCTGGTTGCAACACTTTCCCATTTTGTAGTGTAGAAAAACACTAACTTGAGTCTCGTTAAGCCCTTGACCTGTCATTCTACTGAATCTTCTACAAGAGAAACCTGGATTTTGTCCAATTTGAATAGTGTTATGATCATATCAGCAAAATCCCCCAAAGTACTGATGTGTTCAAAGTTTGCCAGGAAAATTGCTCTGTAAAATTTACTTTCCCTATCTGAAAGAGGGAATTTATACTTATTAAGGACTGGAGGTTCCTTTAGCTGATGGGCAGACTTAGTATATTATCTTCCTTAGCAATGAAGGGGTTAGCAGATGGCACATTTCTAGTTCTGTGCAAATTCTTGTAGCAACTCCAAATTGTGCACTTAAGTGCACTTAAATGGCAGAAAAAATGTTTTTTTTCAAATCCTTGTTACTGTGGAAAAGAGACCGTGTTTTAAAGGAATATTTGGGAATACTGTAATCCTGTGTCTTAATCTTCCATGGGTCTGCAGTTAGTGTTATCAAGTTGTCTTAAATAAGCTTGTGTTAAATTTAAGTAGTAGATGTTGCTCTTGCAGAATTCGGTAAGGGAGTCAGGAAGAGTCTGTGTTCTGTTTTATTGCTTAGCACTGTCCTGCACCTGTCACTGTTTACTTTTGAGTGACTGCCTGTTTACCATGGTAAAATGGGTTCTTTGTGGGTTTCCAAATTTACTATAATTTAGTCTTTCACATAATGTTCTTTACTTAAATGTTTGGAGATCAGCATAAACCAAGTTGAGTGGTTTTAGTTGACTCATCTCAGGCCCCTTTGACGATGTTTACTTTCTGACCTACTTCTGTGTTGCTGTTTTTCAGCTTTATTTTTTACTCCATGACCAATATGTAGACTGGAGTATCTTTTCCTCTCTCTGCAAAGAAAGTTCTTTCCCCCACAGTTTGTACGTGTCTGCCTACCCAAAAGTTCCATAAATACATTTGGACTCAGGGTAGAATTGTTTTCTTTTTAAATAAGATTCCTGGCCTTCTGGTGTTGAGAGTAATGGTGACATCCAGTGGCTGCCAAACACTTAATCCCTGGAATGATAAAATTTTATAACAGTGCAATATGCATGTTTAATAGTAATCTTGTAAGAGATAGTTGGTCTAAGTCTATGGCCAAACTAGCTGTTTTTGATATTTGGTAGCTAGTTTGGAGCTGACACAGCTGCTCTTTGGACAATTGAACCCTGTCTATTGCTTGTTTTCAAGAAACCTCTGTGTCCTTGGAATGTGTACCAACTTTTGTATGCAGTTCAAGTCTCTACTGCATGTGCTACTAGAGTTTTAAAAAATGATTTAACAGCAACTCTTTCTTTGTTTCAGGTCTTGCAGTTATGCATTCCCAAAGCACTAATCAGTTGGATGTGGGGAACAACCCCCGTGTGGGTACCAAGCGCTACATGGCGCCTGAAGTCTTAGATGAAACCATTCAAGTGGACTGTTTTGACTCTTATAAAAGGGTTGACATCTGGGCTTTTGGACTAGTCCTCTGGGAAGTAGCTAGACGCATGGTTAGCAATGGTGAGTATTTGAGGATTTCTTTTTAGGACTCAGACCTCTGCTTTTTCAAGAGAGGCAAGGTGAAAGCATCTGCCGTTCTACTGCACACTTTGCTGTTGAACTAAGTGGGCAACGTGAAAATACTGTACCTCTGAAGTGTTTGTATTCCAGTTGCTGAGGCTGAACTCTCACCCACTTTGAAGGACTTGTGTTGTCTCGTCTCGTATCTGATGTGCAAAGTGCTTTTGCCAACTTTGGATGGGATATGATGAAAAGCAGCCATTGTTGAATTCCAAATTGAAGATGATTTTAATTATTATACTGAAATTTTAATGCTGAGAGGGGTTCTGATGTCCTGAGAGGATAATTCTACTCTGCTCCCCATTCCTCAGCCCATTCAAACATGTTTATTTCCTTGAGGTATTTAAGTGAGAGCTTCTAGAAAACCCAAAGGACAATATAGAGAAGGGAAGTGATGTGTGTTCTGGGGTATGCTTACTGTATATCAAGCTAAACACATTGCACTCTTAAAGAAATACCTGTTCAAAATACAAAATTCCTAGTGAAATTCTTCTCTTCAGCAGTGAGCAATAGTGCATTGGTAGGGGGAATCCTATTCTAGATAGCTGTCTCGAGGATTCTTTAGTGGAAAACACCATACCTAGTTTCTATGACCAAAAGGGATGGGATATACTGCAGGAGTCTGAAGTACAAATACCGAACCTGGTCTTGTTCCTCCAGTCAGAAGGGACTGGAAGCCCTTTGGAGCACCGTGTGGGGTGGTAACCCTCAAGCCAGATAAGTGATTAGGACTACTCATATGCTTAAACTTTGCATGTGCCTAAGTATCCTGCTGAATTAGCACCAGTGGCTTGTGGAAGAAACTTCTCTATAGATTGAGAGAAGCTTGACATTTTAAGAAAGCATTCAAAATCCACATAGGGAAAATAGCGGGGATATTATGTAGTAAGGTTCTTGGCTATGATCTGTTTAACTTTGATAAAAGCCTCCAATCTGTTTATTGAAATAAGTATGTATTGATTTGCTTTGGGCCTGATCATTTTCCTAGGGAAGTCTCTTGATCTGAGGTCTTACCTTAACTAGAAAAAAAGTTGTGTTCTTACCATACGTTAGTCACACATTTTAACATGAGGTAAAATCCCAGTGAAGATGAGGTAGCGGGTAGTTTTCATACCTGTTGGCAGGTCAAGGTAAACACTAAACTCCCCTATAATCTGTCTCAACCTGCTAACAGATATGAAAACTACAAATTACCTTGCCTCTACTTGGATTTTACCATATGTATTCAAAATAAGAGCACACTTTTTTTGTCCTAGTGAAGACTTGCCCAGAGGGAGTAGACTTGGACCCTGGGGAGGAGGTCAGCAGGTGCAGTAGTGTTCAAAGCAGAAAAGCTGGTTGTGTATTATAATAAGTAGGCTGCATTTCACAGCAACTCCTGAATAGCAGTGGCCATCCTAACTATAAAGTAGACAGTGATTTTTTTCCCCTCTGCCCCCCCGCCCACCCACAAAGCATTGCTCCCCCGTCCAAGATGATGCTCAACACAGTCTCCAGGAAGGCAGTAACTTCCATAAAATTTGCATTCTGGAACTTGAGTAATTTCTTTAAAAGAGAATTCTAAAATGGATTCTCTTTTGAGATCAGAAAACAAGATGAGCTAGTTGGGTGTCTCTGTGGCAAACAATTCCACGTAACATCTAAGAGCCAAATACAAACAGATCCTGCTCCCGTGGAAGTCCGCTGGAATCTTGTTGCTCCCACTAGAGGAATCACGCTATCACTGCTGTCTGAATATGGACCATCTTCTCATTGAAACACTGGGAGAAACTCAGTTACAAACACCAGAGTTACAAACTGACCAGTCAACCACACATCCCATTTGGAACCAGAAGAACACAATCAGGCAGCACCAAAGACTAAAAAACAAAAAACCCAGTACAGTGCAGTACAGTGTTAAATGTAACTACTAAAATAGAGGGAAAGCAGCATTTTTCTTCATAATAAAGTTTTCAAAGCTATATTAGGCAATAGTTGTAAACTTTTGAAAGAACTATAATGTTTTGTTCAGAGTTAGGAAAAACCTCCATTCCTGAGGTGTTTGCTCTATACAGTAGAACATCAGAGTTACAAGGATCGCTTTGGTGTGTCAACAGCTGGCTTTTGAACCATGAAGTGATGTGGTTGTGGCCTTAGAACAGTGGTTCTCAGCTCGCTCCCTTGGGCTGCTTGTGGCCCAATCAGCACACAGCTACCACCCATGTGACATCCTCAGGGCCATACAGGTAGAATATCTAGTGTGTGGGTGCAGCCCACATAAGAGAGCTGCATGTGCAGCCCACAGAGGTAAATAGGTTGAGAACCACTGCCCTAGAAGTAAGGTATGTGTCCTCTCCAGTAAGATGAGTTGAGGTAGCTACAAGGGATGGTTAAATAGAGAAGTGGGAAAAAATGTCACTAAAGAAATTGTTGTGCACAAATTCTGTGTGGATATAAAATTAGCATCAATGTTTTTAATATTTTATTGGTGAACTTTTTAAAAAGGGAGTCAAAAAGATTGAGGGACTATTTCTCAATACTTGGAAACCTCGGGGTTGCAGTTTGTCACTTGAGTGCCTTGAGATTTGATCTGTAACAATGAGCTTGTCATGCTGAGATTTAGATTCTGAACTTTATCTGAAATTGCATATTTTTCTTTCTAAACACTGAGCACTGTGAAATGGAAACCTAATTACTGATTGTCCTAGTGAGAGTTCTGTTGGGTGGGTGGTGGTTTAACCAACTGTGTAATAGGTAACCCAACCCAAGACCACAAGGGAAACTGAGATGAGAACAAAATGTGTGTTTCAGTATAACTGACTGATGCCATTCATAGCTATGGTTAACAGGACTGGTGGTAGTTAATGGGGTGCCTGTATATCTTCACATTGCACAATATTTTTTTCTCAACAAAGCCGTCCGCACAATGAAACTTTTCATACCAGTTTTCAATTAAGACATTTATAGTTTCAACTAGATATGGAACTTTTTTTAGCTAGCTGTGAAGTTTGTAGTTCTTCCATTTTTTTGTCCCTCTGTGCTTTACACATGTGGGTACGCATGCACACCATACTCCTGAGTCTGGAGACTTTAACAAGCAACGTCCTTTGTCCCCCGCACATGTGCATTAGATCTTTGTGCTCCCGAGTTGAGCATATAATAAGCAGTGTGCGTCAACACCCTCTCAGTTCCTTATTACTGCTACATGGTCTGAGTTGGAATCCAGTGTCATCCCTTTCAGAAAACTTGTAAATAAGATTGTAAATAGTTGTTCATTAGGGTAGTGTAATTTGTTTTCCCCAGACTGGGGACTTCTTCCTCACAGTCAGGGACTATGCCCAGACTCCACATTTTCAAAACTGTATCTCCTGCCTTAGTCACTGACAGAGAAGGAATTAATACCAGCTGTGTCCCTACAGTCTAGGAGAGGCAAACATTTCAGTGACATGCAGCATTTGTCATTCATTTCCACTAAGAACTCACAGAGCTCGTGAGTTTCACTTTAGACATGATGGAGAAGGCTATGAAGCCCCTTTCTGATCTGGCCCAGGAAGACCACCTTGTACATCGGCCTCATCAAACGAGCAGTGTCCCTCTGTGCACGTGCTTAGGAGTGGAGCACTCAGTTTCTAAGCCCAAAGACACTCTCCAGGGCTTCTCATAAGAGTAAGGGACACTTTCATGGGCACAAGGGCAGATCACGGTTGAGGACTGTCTGTAAGTGACACTACTTCCCTGAGCCCATTGAGGTTGGGCAAGCCCTTGGCACACAGACCCGAAGGACTGTTTTTCTGCCAAAAAACTATCAGGGTGGAGGATAAGATGCATAGGGAGAAGAATTTTCCTGTTCCATTGGTGATTCCAGTTCTGAAGCACAAGGACCATTGTCCTCGAGTTCCTTCCACAAGTGTAGCTTTGGACTCTGTGATAGTGACACAGGCGCCTGAAGAACACCCCACGACTGGGGGTGTACTGGTTCCATTGGTGCCAACTATCAGAACACCCTGCACACGGGGTGCACAGAGAACTATATGGCACCAGAGGATATCGTCCTCCCCCACCCGCAGTCTCCCTTCTTCTCTAGCCCAACCCTCTTGAGGGACATTACTATACCAGAAGACTATATTGCTTTGTTGTCCCAGGAGCCGTCTTTCTTACAGCTGTCAGGCAGGATTACCACAGTACTGATGGCTCTGACATTACAGAAGGAGCAGTTTCCAGATTTGTACAAATCTGATGAGCTGGTCCCTTGTTCGTTGTCACAGAGACCCAAGCCTGGACAGGCGATCGAGGACTTATGGTTGCTACCCTTATGAGCACTGCCTCTCTGGGGACCAATGGTTCCCCATGCCATGAGGTTCCCTTCAAACAGTGGCCCCTCTTTCTGGCCCGGTTGGGGACTATGGGATTCCTATACCAGATGTCCAGCACCCACCTAGGAGTCTTTCCACTCTTCCTCATTGCACCATCAACCAGTTCCATCGGTGTGTGAGATGGAGGAAGATGCTGAACCAGAACCACAGGTACTGTTTCCTCTTCCCCATTCCCCTTCCCCCCCCCCCCTCACCCCCTCCCGCCCTCCCCGGACAACCATAAGCAATAACAGGACTTACTACAAAGAGTGGCTATATTTCTACCCAGGGTTGTTGCAGAATTCTACCTTAGCCAATGTATTCACTTACCTGTCCTGTTTCCGAAACCCCCATGTTTCTGAAGAGAAGAGACTTTCGCTCCTTCCACATCAAGTGTGCACTGGCTTTTTACTTGCAAAGAACTAAGACCATCAGACAGTCTCCAAGACTCTTTGACACAATAGTAGAGAGATCCCATGGTCAGGCTATATCCTCTCAGAGGATTTCTAAGTGGGTTTCTGGCTGAATTATAGAATGCTACGGACTAGCTTGCATCCTACCTCCTGGTGGTATAACAAGCGAGAGTGCAGGCTGCCACCAGGTGGCATC